AGAGATCACTGGTCCAGTCTGGGTCACACTGTACCCCTACAGTCTAGAGATCACTGGTCCAGTCTGGGTCACATTGTACCCCTTCAGTTCAGAGATCGCCAGTCCGGTCTGGGTCACACTGAACCCCTACAGTCCAGAGATCACCGGTCCAGTCTGGGTCACACTGAACCCCTCCAGTCCAGAGATCGCCGGTCCAGTCTGGGTCATATTGTATATGTGGGGTGTGTGATTTGTGTTCTTTCCCAGAAGCGTTCCTCAGTAATGGCACCTAATTGCGGTTCTTCAGGGAAGGGCTACATGAGGAGAGGAATAAACAGATGGGAGCAGAGATGAGCTCCTCTTCCCCTCCCTCTGCTCTCTCCCAACAGGACACTGAAGAGACCAGAGCCCTGAGTTCACAGCACACATTCAGCAGCAGTGCAGCAGCAGGCAGGTTTAGCTGTGTGTGTGTGCCTCTCAATAAGGCTCAGTGTCTCTGTGTTTTGTGTATTAGTGTGTCTGAATTTGTGTCTACCAGTGTGTGTTGATTTGCAATGTCTCAGTGTCTCTCCCCATGTGTGTCAGTGTGTGAACGGCACTGTGTGTGTAAGTGTGTGTGGGTCAGAGTGTTTGCATCAGTGTATGAGATCTGTAGGAGTGTGTGTAAGTGTGTGCCTCAGTATGTTGGTCAGTGCGTGATGTCTGTGTGTGTGTGTCAGTGTGTGGTATCTGTATGAGTGTGTGTGTTGGTGTGTGTGTCTCAGCCGTTATCTGTATGGGAGTGCCTGGAGTCACAGGGCTGTGACTGAGAGTCTGGTGCACCGCAACAACAGGAAACCTACAGGCACGCAAACAGGAAGTGCACTCCTGAGAGACAGAGAGAGAGAGAAACAATTAACTAACCCCAGAAATCTTTATCAGAGTCTCTTTTCTGCCTCTCTCTCTCCCTTCCAATCTCGTTTTCTCTGTTACTGCCAACCTCTCCATCTTTCTGTCAGATCAGCTCAGTGTTTGAGTAATCAGTGAAATCAGGATGAATTAAGAACAGAGCATGTGCTTGTGTTCCACTATATTCAACTCTCACAGATTCCCCTCTCTTTCTCCACACTCCCTCTCTCCTGGACTATAGAGACTCAGTTCCTTCGCCCCCAGGGTCTTGAAACAGGGCGGCATAGAAAGGCAGAGCAGGCAGTGGTTTTGTCGTTAGCACACACGTTTATTAATTACTGTTCATCACAGCACATCACAGGGGTCACGCGAACAGCCGCTAAGCTAGTACTGGGGTTTAACAGACAGGCACAGGTGTGGGCGGGAGACTGCGGAGCGCAGAGTGTGTTTCAGGTGCAGGCTGGCCAAGGGAGAGCGGCGCTCCAGGGTGTGGGGGAGCCGACACGGAGCCCCTCATCTGTGCTTCCTCCCCACTTCTGTGCTCCCCTGGGATCCGGGAGCTCTTTCTTACACAGCCAGAGGTGCGGAATAAATACAGAGGATATTTGCAGCAGAATTCCCTCGACTCGGCAAAGGGAAGGGGGGGTTGGAAAACAATTGTCGTCGCACACTTCTCTGAGGCCCACAGGTGCGACACCCATAGACGCCCCCAGGCCACCCGGCGGCAGACGTGTCCTCCTCTTAGTCTCCCTGCTGGAGCGACTCTCAAACCAGGCTGGTTGCTCGTTAAGAGTGTCTGTGAACTCTTTTAGTCTGAGAGACGTGTGTTAAACTGTCCCGAACTTCTTATCTGCAGGCCTTAGTTTGGGCTCCTTTTGACTTCATGTACTAGAACGTCTTCGCTCCCCCTGGCCGGAGTGCAGTAAAGTCGAGCAGAATCTCAGCTCTTCAGAAACCAGTGAGCAGGTGAGCTCGTGCAGGGCTCCTCAGGACACTGCTCTGGGCGAGAGGGTCAGGCAAGGCTAAAGCTCAGAGCCGCCTGTCTGACAGGTCATCCAAGCGCTCTTGATTATCAGCAGAGCCCCTGAAAGCTCGCTGATCGCGGGTCACTGTCAGGGAGCTGCAGTGCAGTCTCCCGGCGAATGAGCTGAGCAAACTGCAGCTCTATTAAAGACTCAGTTAGCTTCCGTCATTAAGAGCTCAGCAGGCATGAAAATAAATGGACACCCAGTGGCCTGAGATCGTGGGGGCTCTGCTCGTGCTGGTGTAGCTGGTCTGTGTATGAGACTGGACAGATTTCACCTCCGGTCCCAGTGGTCTGCTCTCTACAGCTGGTCAGGCGAGCCCAAGGGTGTTTCCCAGTTAAAAACTTAAGAGGTCGAGATTCTGGTCGTTAGTACGTGTAATATATCACACACTCCTACAGAGGAGATTTTCAAGACACAGCACCAACCACAAAGCCCTGCGTTATTCTTCCCAGGTTCTGGATACACTGCCTTCTTTATAAGGGAGGAAGCAAGGGGATCTCTCAAGCTCAAAGGAAGCCCGTGTTCATCAGTGCAGGTGATCGGCCCATGTGGAGACGCGCTTGACCGCTGGCTGGGGCTCTGCTGCGTCCTTCACTGTCTGCGTCTTCAAGCCGATTGGCTGCGGTACCATCAGCCCTGATTGCCACTTGCTGGGACTGTGTCCAACCGTTCCTGACTAGGTCAGTCTCCTCCGTTAAAAGAGAAGAACAAAGACCAGCTCTCTTCTATTGACACCATATTGATAAGAACGTTGTCAGAGATGATGTCCCCAGACTTGACTGTCATGGACTAAGACAGTGGTTCCCAGGATCGGGATGGGGAACTCCTGGAGTGGTGTGGAAGTTACGTCTGGTCCCAGGTCTTCCTGTCTCACCGCTCCACCCCTGAGCACACAGAACCAGTCATGAAGGGCTGCCAGGCAGGGACAGTGACTAAGAAGACACTGAGCCTCTGGCATGGGATTGGTCTGGATCCTCAGCCGTACTTCGCTGAGACCTTACTGCTATTTCCTGCTCTGCAGACACGTCCACGTCGCTCACTAACTGAACGTATTCTTGTTGTCCCTGATTCTTGGGCCCTCTCAGTGACGCTGGTCAGGTATCAGGTCCGAGATTCACTGGCCAGAGTCTGGCTGTCACATAGCTGTTCTGACATCATGCTCATCCTTCGTTGTCCCTGATCCTGCTGCCTGCCGAGCACAGAGTCTTGAGCGCCCAGTCCTCTGTGGCCGATGTCAGCATCATGATTGTCGCTCGCTATTCTGGGAAAAGGCTTGAATTCCATTGGATATAAAAATCTGTGATCTTGATTGTCATTGCTGGGAGTTCATATGGATGCGAATTTCATTGGCTGGAGAAAAATTAATGCTATTGGTTGGTAAGAATGTAAGCTCGTGTTTTATTGGCTGGAGAGATTATAAGATTAACTCTTCATGGGCCGGTAAGAATAAAAACTTGTAAGCTTATAAGCTTGTGAAAAGTTTGATTGCCACTGGCAGGAGAGCATTATCACCTGGGTAACATCTGCTGGTGAGAATACAGGCTTGAGCTGGTGGTTGTAGAAATTTGATGGTCAGCAGTAGCACAGGTGATGTCAGAAGTTCTCTTCACCCTCTTCACCATCTGGCAAGAACGTAGCCCTGTAACAAACTGCTGTGCCAGACATGCTGAGGGAGGGCTGCGATTCTAATTGATGACGAGGTGTGTCCGTTCTACTGCAGGCCCCTGGCATGATGCTGGCACAACTGGCCTGGAGCTGCTGGTCTGGGCATGGTCGGAGGTGCTGGGGTGGGGGACAGGACACTCACAGGGATCCATGGGGCTCTTGAGGATGTAAGAACGGGCTGCTGTCTTTCTCACTGCAGCCGTGGCCAGTACTGGCCCAGGTCCTGCTCCGAGCCGGGAACCTGCACTGGCACGGACACACCAGGGGAGATCAGACCTGAGGGGCAGAGGAGAGCTGGGTTGGTGCAAATGGAACTAATCTGCAAGGGACAGAGGAGAAGGGGGC